CAATAATATATATTATAATTATGTTATATAAATAAATAAAAATGTCACATAAATTAATATATATATTTTAATTAAAAACATATAAAATGACCTTATTACCCTCACCCTCACCCTCACCCTCCGAATCCCTCTTCTTCCCCTTCTCTCTTTCTCTTTCTTTCTTTCTTCTTCTTTCTTTCTTTCTTGCCCTGGGATAGGCTGGGTTCAGTGGAAACCCAGCCTTGCTGGGTTCGTCAACCAACCAAGGCTGGGTTCGTCAACCAGCCAAGGCTGGGTTCATCGGAACCCAGCAGATCTGGGTTTCGACGAACCCAGCAAGGCTGGGTTCGGTTGAAACCCAGCAATGCTAGGTTCCGTCGAACCTAGCAAGGCTGGGTTCGGTTGAAACCCAGCAAGGCTGGGTTCGGTGGAAACCCAGCCTTGTTAGGTTCGTCGACCAGCCAAGGCTGGGTTCGTCGGAACCCGGCAGATCTGGGTTTTGATGAACCCAGCTGCTGGGTTTCGTCGAACCCAGCAAGGCTGGGTTTCAACGAACCCAGCAAGGCTGGGTTTCGTCGAACCCAGCAAGGCTGGGTTTCAACGAACCCAGCAAGGCTGGGTTTCGTCGAACCCAGCAAGGCTGGGTTTCAACGAACCCAGCAAGGCTGGGTTTCAACCGAACCCAGCTTTGCTGGGAAAGCTGGGTTCTTTTTTTTCATTCTTCTTTCGATTTCCATTTTCAGTTGTTAATAAATTTGGAGATTGATTTAAAATTTGATTGCATTTTTGTTGGAATTTGATGAAAGTTTGATTGTATTTTTGTTGAAATTCGATTAGAGTTCGATTGGTATTGTTTATTGAAGGGTTATTTTGATTTGATGAGATCTACCAGGTTTGAGGTTTCAATGAAACCCAGTAGCTCAAGTTTCCCCGAGAAAAGAGAAGAAGAAATGGGTGGGTTAAGATCGGTTTTGTAGATGGAGTGGAGATGAGAGAGCATTCACGAAAGAATAAGAAATGGGTTAAGATCGATTTTACAGATGGAGTGGAGACGAGAGAGCATTCAGAGAATAAAAAGAAATGGGTTAAGATCGATTTTGCAGAGGGTGAAGATGAGAGACCAGTTTGCAGGCAACTGGGATCCATTGAAGGGGTTTAGCGTGAAGAAGATGACATGGCATAAAAAAAAAAGTCCAGATAAGCATCTTTGTAAGTTATGTTTGCCATGTCATAAAAAAAAATATAAAAAATGCCATGTGGTCGAGTTAACAGCTCAAATTGACAGAAAGATTAACGGAGTGCATTTTGTATAATTGAGGGATCAAAAAAGTGCAAAAAATTGTTAAAAGACCAAAAATATGCAACTCACTAAAGTTGAGGACCAAATTTAGCATTTAACCTAAAGAAATACAGTTGTGGGGCCGAGTTGCTTCCGGATTATTCTTTATTAATTTTTTTTAGTTAAATACCCTTTTTGGTCCCTCTACTATAGGAAAAAGCCCTTTTTTAGTCCCTGTACCGAAAAAATCCCCTTTTTGGTCCTTACTGTTCACAAATCC